TCTATCTATCTATCTATCTATCTATCTATCTATCTATCTATCTATCTATCTTAGTTTCTATTCTATTTTTTTAACTTTTCTTGCATGTTTTGCTTTTTCTTTGATTTCTTTTTTATGTTATCTTCCTTAATTTACATCAAGTTGTTGTTACCAACCCTTATCACAGAGCATAATCTTGAAAAAGTCACCTCATCATCAGCTGTTCCTTTCTGTGTAAAGAAATGGAACATCTCCTTTGATACACCCAGTGTTAAAACTTTCATGCTGAAGAGATTTGTCCTTTAATAAAGTCCCAGATCATCATTTATTTTCTACAGAACAAGTTGGTTTGTTTCTTATTCATTGACTAGGATCCTACCAAAAGTGCAATTAATATTATCAGGTAGCAGTTGCATGGTTTTTCTCAATTAACCATAGTTAGGGTGAATTTCAGTGAAAGTATAGTGTTATACCAGGGTCACTTCTGAGATATGGAAAAATAGAAAAAGTATGAAATAAAAGCTAGAAGGAACAAAACAAAAGCCTTACTGGAAGTCTGGAAAATGTTTTTACCTTTGTAGTTTATACATTTTAAGTAGGGAAGTTTCCACAGTTTTTTTTAAACATCTGGGCTTGTTGCTGACATTCATTTGAAATGAAATTATTAACAATGAAGTGGCTAGCACATTTTGCTCTAACCTGCCTTCAGCTAGTAATATTTTCCATGTGCCACAGTATTAAAAGTGAATGAGCTGTGCGTCATCCATTGCTGCGGGTAACTTGTTTTGCTCCTTGAATATAGGCTTCCCATAGCTTTACTACAACCATACATAAGAATATATCCATGCTTCCTTTAAAGGTTGAGTGCATTTATATATTCTGTTGCTTGAAATTAAATTGAAAGTCTGAGTGAAAGTAACCTGCAGCTGATTGCAGTAATCAAAAAGAAGACAAATTTCCACATGTTCTTAAAACAGTTACATGTCTTTTGATTTCCAGCAAACAGATGGGGAAACAGATCTTTCCATTTTGTTTATGCCTGTCATTAAGGCAATTGGCTTGTGGAGCTTGAGTTTTTTGTTTGAAAGCTGAAGAAGTAAATTTCCATTACTGTGCTTTCCTTAAAGGGAAGAAGGGAATATCTGTTCAACTGTGCATGTAATAGCACTTAGACCACTGGTTCCCAAACTTTTTTGGTCCACTGCCCCCCTGGTGCTACAAACTCATCCTTGGTGCCCCCCACCCAGGGGTGGGATTCAAATTTCTGTGGGTGTGGCCTAATTTGAGGGTGTGATTTGCTGGTCACATGACTGGGTGGGTATGGCTTGCTGGTCATGTGACTGGGTGGGCGTGGCCAGGTGACTGGCAAACCAAATACAAGTGGTCCTCACTTAATGACTGGTTGTTTAGCAAGTGTTTAGCAATTTGTGACTGGCCTCCCCAGAGCTACTTCACCATTTTTTGGAGTTTTGAAAGCTTTAGATCAGGGGTCTAAATCCCACCCCTGCCTGTGTGTGTGAGAGCGAGGGAGAGAGAGAAGTTGGATCAGATCTCCGTCTCTCTCTCCCACCAACGCCAGAAAGCCACCGTCAGTCAAAATTCATATTAGTGGTCTCCGGGATTTAAAATTATGAGTTTGGTGGTCCCTGAGGTCCAAAAGTTTGGCGACCCCTGATCCAAAGGGATGAGCCTGAGAGAGGGAAAGAGAGAGAGAAAAGAAAGAGAGGAAGAAAATAAAGAGAAAAGGGAAAGAAAGATAAAGGGACAAAGAAAGAAGGGGGGGGATGGAAGGAAGGGACAGAAAGAAAAAGAAATAAAGGAGGGAGGGTGGAGAAAGATAATGAGATATCTATTCTAGTCCAATCACCTGCTCCAGCAGGATTAGAAGGGTGTGTGTGTGTGTGTGTGTGTGTGTGTTCTCCTTGTAATTTACCAGTATATTTTGGTTTTGCCTTCTTCAGAATTGGCACTGTAATACATTGGGGAAAAGTAATTTTTAGGGTGGAGATCTGGTCCAATGGATCCTGTTTAAAGCCTCAACAAAATGTGAGAGCTTCCTGATAGTCTTGACCATGTTTCGTCCACAAAACTTTTAATAGAAGCCAAAGAGGTTTCAATGTGCTGGCAAAGATGTTTCAATGTGGAAAAGGGCCTCAGTCTAAACTAGGCCTCATTCAATCTGATGCATCAGGTATCTCTTTCTCTCTCTCTCTCCCTTCCTACTTCCCTCTCTCCCTCCTTCCCTCCCTCCCTCCCGCTCAGACTGGCTTTGCTCTACTTTCCCAATGTGCCTGCGGGGCTGGCACTTCGAACACTGATGGATGGATGGATGAATGGATGGAGAGAGAGACAGGCAGGTAGGTAGGCAGGAAGGCAGGCAGGCAGGCAAACAGAGAGACCTTTTGGATGGATGGATGGACAGACAGACAGACAGAATGCGACAGCGGCGGCACTCTGGGAAAATGGTGGCAGCAGTTTTTCCCAACGTGCTGCTGCATTCGAGGCACCGGTTCTGGAGCATTACTACAGTCAATGGGTGAACCTGCAGGGCTGGTGCCTCGAACGCCCCCCTGCTGCCTCTTAGCGTCCCCAAGGGGGTCAGCAGAGGGGGCTAAGAGGCAGCAGGGGGGCGTTCGAGGCACCGGCCAGCCCTGCAGTTTCACCCATTGATTAGCACTGCTCCAGAGCCGGCGCCTCCAAAGCGGAAGCGGTGGCACATTACATGCCGCCACGGCCACGTTTGACGCGCCGCCCCCCTGCCGCCTCTTAGCACCCTTTTGCTGGCCCCCTTGGGGATGCTAAGAGGTGTCGGGGACATTCAAGGCGCCAGCCCTGCAGTTTCACCCATTGACTGTAGTACCGCTCCGGAGCTGGCGCCTCAATGGATGAACCTGCAGGGCCAGCTGGCGCCTCGAACACCCCCGTCGCCGATTAGCGCCCCTCTGCCAACCCCCTTGGGGACACTAAGAGGTGGCAGGGGACGGTGCATTGAATGCTGCTGCGGCGGCACATAACATGCCACCGCTTCCGCATTGGAGTCGCCAGGTCCGGAGCCGTGCTAAAGTCAATGGGTGAACCTGCAGGACCAGCGCCCCGAATGCCCCCCTGCTGCCTCAGCGTCCCCAAGGGGGCCAGCAGAGGGGCGCTAAGAGGCGGCAGAGGGCGGCGCATCAAATGTGGCTGTGGCGGCATATAACGTGCCACCCCTTCCGCATTGGAGGTGCTGGCTCTGGAGCAGTGCTACAGTCAATGAGTGAACCTGCAGGGGCGGCGCCTCGA